ATTTGGTGGCATCAAGATTTCTAGACTCTCTTTCCCTTTTTACACCTTTTGATGAATAACCCTTAGCTATCCAGGGAAAACACTTTGCTTTTTTTCAGGACAGATGAAAAAGAGAGGGCATCTTGATGGGGGAATATCAGACTAAATTGAAGTAAAAGGTACCACAGTACCAATCCATAAACAAGTGGAGTGAAATCTGAATGCTGAGAACCACAGTTTTATTGTCCTATTTGTCTTCCAGAACATAGACTTAAAGTTATGTATATGGAGGGTTCTCTACAAAAGGCCAGCAGATTGCCCTATAAGGAATCTTGCAGTCAACAAGATTATTGCTACTCGTAGCGCCTAATTAGTTTTTTTCTTTATACATTTTATTTTCCTAGTTCTAACTGTTTATCAATGGCAGACAACTCAAGAGGTAAGGGCAACTTCTAACAAGGAAGATAAATAGAAAAAAGCTACAGTATGCTATTCTTAAGGAGAACAGAAAAGAGCTTGAGCATTAAGAACAATCACTAAGATGAAAGACAAAATTTGGAGAAACATTTGTAAAAGTAAAGCAAGAAAAAAATGGGGGGAGATAGAAAATAAAAGAAAATGTAAGAGGATCAGACCAAGAGTATATATCTGTATATACATATATATATACACACACACACAATGGAATACTATATATACATATGTGTATATGTATATATATACATATAGTATATGTGTATATATGTGTGTATATACATGTGTGTGTGTATATATACACACACACACACACACACACACACACACACACAGAATGGAATACTATTCTGCCACCAAAAAGAATTAAATCTTGTTTTTTGCAGCAACATGGATGGAACTGAAAGACATTATGTTAGGTGAAATAAACCAGGAATAGAAAGTTAAACACCGATGTGGAAGCTTAACAAAGTTGACTTGATAGAAGTAAAAAAAAACAGGATACTAGAGGTTGGGAAAGATACAGGGAAGAGGGATAATAGGGTTAGATTAGATACAAAAGATACAAAATTATAGCCAGATAAGAGGAGTAAGCTCTAGTGTCCTGTACCACTGTGGGATAACTATAGTTAACAGTAATACATTAAGTTTCAAATAGCTAGCATGAGGCTACTGAATGTTCCCAACACAAAGAAAAGTACTTGAGATGATGAATATGCTAATTACCCTGATCTGCTCACTGTTCACTATAGGTAACATCACAATGTACCCCATAAACAATTATCATTTGTCAAATAATTAAATTTTTAATTTTTGAGGGAAAATGACTTCCAGCACAGAATCCTATACTCTTCATATTATCAGTCAAGTTTAAATACTTTTCCTCTGGAAGCCACTGGAAGATGGGTTTCACCAAAACAAGGGACAATTATCATTTGTCAAAATTAAATTTTTAATTTTTGAGGGAAAGTGACTTCCAACACAGAGTCCTATACTCTGTCATATTATCAGTCAAGTTGAAATACTTTTCCTCTGGAAGCCACTGGAAGATGGGTTCTACTAAAACAAGGGATTTAAATGAAGAAAAACTACACAGGAACTGGAAACAAGATCCAGCAAGAAACAGGAATCCCAAGTATTATAGTGATGTTATCATCCCAAGTGGTATGTTTTTAAGGAGCAACCAGTACGGGTTGGGTTAGGTCAAAAAGCTGGTGGGATGGGGCTTGGGAGAGTTCTTACAGGAAATGAAATTAACATCTAAAGTGAATGTATTAAGAGAAGATTAGATAACTGATGGAGCATTTGGAGTTGCATTAATAATAATACAGAGAAAACTAAGCAAATGAGAGAACATTATTCCAGGAAAAATGAATTACTAAAACACAACTAGTATAAACAAAATTACATATAATTAGAAAGATGGAGAGTATGATGAACACAGGAAAAAAAAAAAACTAATGCATCTTTCATAGGAATTTGATCAAAAATACCTATAATTAATAATTAAGAAATAGCAGTACAAATGTAATTTAGATATATGCAAGTAAACAGTATGAATTAGCTAAAAGAGCTTTATGTATTTCTGAGGAGAGGAAACTGGAGTGTGCTGGTAATTTTAGGCTAACTCTAAATTAATGGAGTTTTAATAAAAATAAGACCTTAGTAAATGAGGCTTCTTGCGAAAGACCTGTTGAGGATCCATGGCAGTTAATAGATATAATGTCCAAATTATACATCATACTGTCTTTTCACTCTATTCACCTGCAGGATAAGTACAGATTTTGTTCTATTGTTCCTGTATTAATAATGGTGCATTACTTCCTTGTGCTGGCAAATAGAGTCGGAGTTACATAGCAACAATAATTTTGTTTACTTTTATTAGTGTTTGAAGGACTACAATGTGGATTGGAAGGAAAAGAGTGCCAACACTATTATTCTAAAGAAGAGTAAGAGCAAGTAACTAGATGAATGATGATATCTGTATACTTTACCTAGGATTTTATGTTTCTGAAATTCATCTCACTTGGACAATTCTCTGAAGCAGAGGAATAACCAACAAAGTTCCAGTGATAAATTATCGCTACTTGTTTATTTATTTATTTTCCTTTTTGAGGCAGAGTCTCACTGTGTCACCCAGGCTGGAGTGCAGTGGTGTGATCTCTGCTCACTGCAACCTCTGCCACTTAGGTTTAAGTGATTGTGCCTCAGCCTCCTGAGTAGCTGGGACTTTAGATGCATGCCACCACACCTGGTTATTTTTATATTTTTAGTAGAGATGGAGTTTTGCCGTATTGGCCAGGCTAGCCTCAAACTCCTGGGCTCAAGCAATCCACCTGCCTCAGACTCCCAAAGTGTTTGGATTACAGGAATGAGCCACCATGCCCACCCTCATCTCTAAATGAAACTAACCTCTTTTTTGGGGTGGAATGTGCTGACATTTGCTGAATAAGATCTCTGAGTGATTAGGTAGCTTATTGGAAAAGATGCCTTACCCTTACTTTTTTCTCCCTTGGCATCTGAAGTAAGAGTTAAAGCCCTAGATTTTTATGGCACTGAAGAATCATACTTAAAGTCTTGGAGTGGATTTTTATCATTTTGGACTAGATCTATTGGCATGTACTCCAAAGCAGTGCAATAAAAGGTTGATCAAAACTGTATTTAACAATATGATTATTTCTCCTTTCTCTTTTAAAATTGAATTTACAGTGTTTCTTACTTGATAGTAACACAAGAGATTTACCAGAGACTGGAGAGCAGAGTCTAACCTTGATAATTTATTTTCATGTTTATTTAGTTCCTCATAAATAACTTCATTTTGGACACCTGCTTTATACCGGGGACTATCCTGTGCACTATGTTTCTGGTGGTTGAATCAGTATGTACTGTCCCTGCTCTCAAGGAGCTTATAGTTTAGTGTGTAAGATGGACATTTATTTTTAAAATAGTTTGTAAATAAACTACCATATAATTACAAGTTAAGATAATTGCTAGTATGAGAAAGTAATGGAGTAAGATAAGGGACTAATTTAAATTAGAAGCATCAACTCTAAGAGCATTTTCAGACAGTCAATATTTTCAAAATGTCTACCTCCTGTATACACACTATACAGTAGCTTTCTCATGAAGCTGCTGGAGGATATCTCCATCAAAACAAGTGAAGGATAAAGGGCATAGATAACAGGGTATCCCATACAGAAAAGAGAAGTGATCCATCAAGAAAATGATAAAGAGAACCCAGGATGCCAGCTGTACCACCAAACAGACCAGTATAAGATGCAGTCAGATTTCACTGAAAGAAATTTCTAGAAAAATTAATAGGATACCTAATGCAACCAAAGAAATTGAGAGGAGAATTGGAGAGAAATGGAATGGATTTGGGTTGGGTTTTGGAGGTAGATTGCTGGACCTTGGTGATTGATTAAATGTGGAAGTTGAGTGAAAACAAATGAGCAATGACTCCCAGATTTCTGCCTAGGCAGATGGATAGATGGAATGTTCATATACTGAGTTGAGGAACCCCAGAGGAAGAAGATTTCAGAGTATGTCAAAAGCCCCTTTTCAGTACTGAGTGAGTTTAGAATGCTAGAGAGATACTCAAGTAGAGATGTCAAATGGGCAGTTAAATAAATAGCCTGATGTCCAGAAGAGGGTTATGAATATTTATGTTGTGTAAATATCAACACAGAGATGCTGTTTGATGCTATGAAAGAGAATTAGATTTCCTCAGGTGAGAGTAAGGACTGAGAAGGTAAAGAAAGCAAAAGACAAATCCTAAGGAACTAGAATTTATAGAGATCTTGTGGAAAAGGAGAAACAATTATAGGAGATTGCTGAGTGTAGAGGCAGATAGGCCAAAAATAGTAGATTTAGTAATGCATGTGAGTTGAGAGAGTAGAGGCAATGTATGTAAACAATGTTATCAGAAACTTGTTTGTAAAAGTGAAAATGAGATTAAATGGTAGTTGAAAGAGGTGGATTGGGGGAGCACATTTGTCTTTAATTTTTTTTGTGTGAGAAATACCAAATATATATAAATGCTGATTGATGGTGAAGCTCTAGGATAAGGAGGAGAGATTGGAGATGCTGACAGGCAGAAAGGAATGAAACCCCCATTACTCATGCAGAATTGGTCTTCAGTAGTAGATAAATCAGGACCAGTGTAGAAAACATGTGCTACTTTAGTGATACTAAAGATAACTCACCTTTAATTCATCCATGTAGAACACAAAATGTTAGGAGAAATTTTTCTTCTTTGACCAAAATCCTTAAAACTATGAATTTATGACTTAGTAATTTTATTGTTGCTGTGGTTACATATATGTTATGCTAGTGAACCATTCTTTATAGCTCAAATATAATTGGGTCAGAACATTTTCTCTAAAGCCTTAGACATTTTTCTTTTTCAGGGGCATTAAGACTGGATTTGGTTGTTCCTATATCTGAAGAGTATTTATATTTATCAGTAGTGGTACAAAATGACCAAGTATTGAAAGTAATAGAAAACAGTTTCTCTGTTTAATTTGGTTTTTCTTTTTATTTTACAGAGTCAAGTAAAGAACAGTTTGCCAGTACAAACATTGCTGAAGAGTTGGTAAAACTCTTCAAGAAACAAATAGAACATGATAAGAGAGAAATGATTTTTGAAGTTCTTGCTCCATTGGCAGAAAACGGTGAGAAAAACAAATGCATCTTTCGATTTTTGGTCATGTATACTTTAAATTTTTTTCCTAATATTATTTAATTGCCAGCTATTTGACTAACAACCATTCTTTATTAGTGATATGTTTTATTTTGCTTATCTCTAATTTTAGCTATGTTATCTGCTCCATAGCTATGTTATGTACGTGGGTCAAAGGAACTTTCCAGGTTCCTTTGATTTTAAATCCTTTGATTTTAGATACTTCTGTAGCTAACACATTCTTGTGCCATTCTGGAAAAGGCAGCTGAGAGGCTAAACTCTACTTTTATACACTTGTAAGGCAAAGGAGATAAAAGCTGGAGTTTCAGGCCTGCCAACAGTGAAGATACTGGTTAACCACTCTTTTCTTTTGGCACGAAAATGTTAAAAGATATATCGTAGAAATAAGCATGAATCAGAGGAAACAAACCATTCCATGTTAGTAATTTTTCAAATATAATGTCTAACATGTATTCAAAGAGGACCAGATATTAATACATGAGACAAAACAAAATGTAAGTAAGAATAGGCAACAGCAGCAAATCTTCAGATACTGGAATTATTAGACACTGATTCAAAACAGGTATGTCTATTGTGTTCAAACAGGTAAAAGCAAGCTTAAAAATCTAGAAGGAATTAAAAAACTATTTTTAACAAGTGACATAGGAGATTTAAGAAAACAAATGAAATTTCTGAATTGAAAAATGTAACCAAAATTAAGAATCCAATGGGGGGTTTAATAGCGGTCTTAATAGGTACTGTTGAATTAGAGAACCAGTGAATTGGAAAGTGGGTTGGAAAAAAATGCAATATGAACTAAAAGGAAAGAAGAACCCAGTTACATAAAAGAGAATAAGAGGTCAGAGGATAAAGTAAGAGGTTCTCATATGCATTTTTTAGAGTCCCAGAAGGAGAGCAGAGAAGGTAGGGAGCGGGATATGCAGAGGCAATATTTGAAGAAATTGTGGCGAAGAATTTATCAGAAATTATGAAAAATATCAAAGATTCAAGAAGCCCTTTGAATCCAAAATATAAAAAGAAATCCACATCTAGATAAGTTATACTGAAAATGTAGAAAACCAATGACAAAATTATTATCTTCATAGTAGCAACAGTTTGGCTGACAGCTATCTTCTCAACAGCAACAATGAAAGTCAGATGTTATAAATGTGGTTTGTCAGAAGGAAAATGATATAGATGCAAGGGAGAATAAAAACCAAAAAAACTAGTAAATATGTAGGTAAATCTTATGAACATTGAATATATTTAAAAAATTATTTATTGTGATGTTTAAAATGTACATGCATATGCTTTGAAAATATACCACAGACCGAGCATATAAATAAGAGAGGTAAGAGGAGTTAGAGTCCTAAGCCACCTGTGTTATCTGGAAGACTCTGGTTATTTAGTCCCTTCAACTTTTATGGTGACTACTAAAATAATTTTTAAAAATCATGTATAATTACCAAATGAAAAGAAGGACTTATAGAAAGATTTTTTAATACCCTAGGAATGTAAAACAAGAAAAAAGAGAAAAAGGAACATGAATTATAGAAGACAAATAGAGCATAAAAATACAGTTTTAAGACACAGTGTTTCAGTAATTATGTTAAATGTATGTGGCCTAAATGCTTTAATTAAAAGACCATTTGTCACTTGTGTTTTAAAATAAACTATACTACTTAAGTAATACTTATTAAATATGAAATTTAAAAGATTGAGAATAATAGGATGGAAAAAATATATCACCGAAACCTAAAGAAGGTTGGGATAGTTATGTTAATATCAAGTAAAATAGATTTTAAGATGAAAAGACTTGCTAGAGATAAAGAGTGACTTGGCCAGGTGTGGTGGCTCACGCCTGTAATCCCAGCACTTCGGGAGGCAGAGTTGAGTGGATCACAAGGTCGGGAGTTCGAGACCAGCCTGGGCAATTTGGTGAAACCCTGTCCCTACTAAAAATACAAAAATTAGCTGGGCGTGGTGGTGGGCACCTGTAGTCCCAGCTGCTTGGGAGGCTGAGGCAAGAGAAACACTTGAACCTGGGAGGTGGAGGTTGCAGTGAGCCGAGATCACGCCACCACCCTTCAGCCTGGGTGATAGAGTGAGACTCCATCTCAGAAAAAAAGTGGGGGGTGACTTGAGTAATAAAGGGTCCAATTCACCTAGAAAAAGATAACCATTGTGCATTATCCAAAAACATACGAAGCAAAAACATTCAGAACTATGAAAAGAAATAGATAAATCCACAAATATCATGAGCAATTTTAATACCTCAATAATAAGCAGATAGAAAAATAGGTTACAGAAAACTTCAACATGATTAAGAAAATTAATTTAATGGACCTATTTTAGGACACTTCAACTGCAGAGCTCTCTCAAGTACATACAAGAACATGCATACTTGTTACAAAAGAAAGAAATTTCAAAAGATTGCTATCACACAAAGTATTTCTTTGACCTGAGTTGTCTAGTAACCAGTTATAAAAAGAAAACCAGAAAATCTCTATGTTTATATAAAAAAAAAAAAAATACACTTCCAATACCTCAGAGATCAAAAAGGAATTTTAATGGAAATTAGAAATTTTTCTAGTAGTGAAAATGAAAACACTATATCTCAAATCTTATGTGATACAAGTAAAGCCATATTCAGAGGAAAAGTTTTTGCTATAAATGCTTATATTAGAAAAGGAAAAGAGCTAAAATCAATGAGCTCTCAGTATTCATCTCAGGAATTTAGGGGAAAGAAAATATAAACCCAAAAAACCAAAAGGTAATTTTTCAACCCTCACCTTCTAATTTGTGTAAATATGCTCATAGTAGTCTCTGATAACCTTTTTGTATTTCTGTGGTATCAGCTATAATGTCACCTTTGTTTTTCTGATTGTGCTTATTTGAATCTTCCCTTCCCCCCCCCTTTTTTTTTGGTTAATCTAGCTAGTGGTCTATTAATTTTGTTAATCTGCACTTGTACTCCCTAAATTTACAAAAAAAAAAATTTTAAGTAGTTAACTGGAATAAAATACAACAATGTTGACAAAATCTACAAGCAATATATATTCTTTAAAAAGTGGAAGGCAAGATAGGGAATCAACCTAAGTGTCCACCAATTGATGAGTAGATAAAGAAAATGGAGTGCATACACACACACTCCATGGGATACTATTCAGCCATAAAAAAGAAGGAAGCAATGTCTCTTTGCAGCAACTTAAATGGAACTGGAGGGCATTAATTCTAAGTGAAGTAACTCAGGAATCAAAACCAAATGTCGCATATTCTCACTTATAAGTGGGAGCTAAGCTATGGGTACACAAAGGCATACAGAGTGGTAGAAAGGACTTTGGAGACAGGAGGGAGGGAATGAGATGAGGGGGTTGAGGGATAAAAATATTACTTATTGGGTGCAGTGTACACTATTCAGATGGCAGATGCACTAAAATCAGACTTTGCCACTATGCAATTCATCCATGTAACCAAAAACGACTTGTACCACTAAAGCTATTGAAATTTTTTTAAAAAATTAAGCATAAGGAATATAAAGAGCTAAAATTAATAAAATGGAAAACATACAATGCAACACAAACATATAATTGTTACAGTTGAATCTGAAAAGACAGTGGAATTGGTAAACCCCTAGTAAGATTAATAATGAAAAGAGAGAGAAAGCATAATTAACCAAAATTAGGAATATGAGAGGAGACCTTACCACATCTCTTACAGCTATTAAGAGGATATTATGAACAATTTGATGCACGTGTGTGTGTGTGTGTGTGTGTGTGTGTGTGTGTGTGTGTGTGTATTTTTTTTTTTTTTTTGAGATGGAATCTCACTTTGTTACCCAGGGTGGAGTACAGTGACACCATCTCTGCTCACTCCTACCTCCACCTCCGAGGATCAAGCAATTCTCCTGGCTCAGCCTCCCGAGTAGCTGGGATTACAGATGCCCATCACCAAGCCCAGCTAATTTTTCTTTGTATTTTTAGTAGAGACAGGGTTTCACCATGTTGCCCAGGTTGATCTCGAACTCTTGACTTCAGGTAATCCACCTGCCTTAGCTCACAGAGTGCTGGGATTACAGGCAGGAGCCACCACACCTGGCCTGATGCCAATATATTTTTAAGTATGAATGATATAAGAATGGAAACGCTGAGTAATGTTACCTTAAAAATTCTTCCAAAGAATAAGAAAAGCAAATATACTTACCAATTTATTTTACTGAAACCTTTACACCAAATCTCAAAAAAGATACTACATGAATGAAAATTAAAGGCTAGTCTCACTATTAACATAGATCTAAAATTCCTCCTAAAGTTTTAGCAAATGTACTCTAGTAATACATTTAAATATTAATCACACCAAATTGCATTCATTCTGAAAGTGAAACACAATTTAATATTTGAAATGCAACCAGTATAATTCATCACCTTAACATATTTAAGGGGAGAATCATGATCTTCTCAGATTCAAAAAACACAAACTTTCCATAAGATTAACTGTCCATTCAATATTTTTAAAACCTCTTAGGAAAACAGCACTAGAAAGGTCTTCGATCTGAAAGGGATATCTATCAGAAGCCTGCAGAAAACATCACACTCAATGGTGAAATAAAAAAGCATTTGCTCTGATATTGGGACAAGAGGGATCATCCCCACTTCCATTTAATATTGTAAGAAGTGTCCAGTGCATTAAAGAGAAGAAAAAAAAATTAAAGCAATAAAACTTATTATATATGATGTGATTTGCATATTTAATTCAAAAAGATGTGTAGATTCGTTTTGTAGATCATTTTTCAAAATCAGAATTTTGTTACATTACTGGCAAAAAACACACAAGAATTTCTGTATACAAAGATAAAAGAAAATAAAATGTGAAAAATATATTGGATAGCCCTTTTGGCTGGAACTGCCACCTTCCAGTAATTTACCAAAATGATGAACACAAAGGGAAAGAGGAGAGGCATCTGATATGTACTTTGTAGGCCTTTTAGACAACAGGCCATTAGCCACATATATTCACATCTACAGGATGTTGTTCCTTTAGCCACATATATTCACATCTACAGGTTGTTGTTCCTTTAGCCACATATCACATCTGCAGGAAAGGTGATACTGTACCCATCAGGGGAATGCACCCTGTTCAAAAAAAGAATGCCCCACAAATGTTACCATGGAAAACCAAAGGAGTCTACCGTGTTATCCAGTATGGTATTGGCATTGTTGTAAACAAACAAGGGCAAGATTGTTGCCAAAAGAATTAATGTGGATAATGAGCATATTAAGCACTCAAGAGCCAAAATACCTACCTGAAACACATGAAGGAAAAGTAGGAAAAGAAAAAGAAGGAAGGAACAGCCTACTCAACCTAGAGAAGTTCATTTTGTGAGAACCAACGGAAGGGACCCTGAGCCTGTTGGAAGCTCTTCCCTATGAATTCATAGCATAATAGGTGTTTTCAAGATAAAAGACTATGGACTATTAAAAAATATAAAAAATTAGTTCCAGATAGATTACAAACCTAAATGTGAAAGTTAAAACTTCAAAAAGTTTGGCTTAAAATGTAAGCTAAGAGAATATCACTATGGCCTTGAAATACTTTTCTTAGGTCACAAAAAGCTCTAATCACAAAGGAAAAAATTGATACATTGGTTAGTTTAAAAGTAAAAACTTCTGGCTGGCCTGGTGTCTCATGACTGTAATCCTAATGCTTTAGGAGGGCAAGACAGGAGGATCGCTTGAGGCCAGGAGTTTGAGACCAGCCTGAGCAATGTAGTGAGGCCTCATCTCTACCAAAAACAAATAAAAGTTAAAACTCCTTTCTTAAAGACACCATTGAGAGTGAAAAGCAAGAGTGGTTGAGAGAATATAATTATAACATATAACTGACAGAGGGCTTGTGTATACAATGTATAAAAACTCCTACAAATCATTAAGAAAAATGTAGAAAACCCAGTGGGGAAATGTGCAAAACATTTGAATAAGCACTTGACAAAAATAGAATCCAACAGACTTAATATAGATATGAAAATGTTCACTCTTAGGTAACACAAAACTGCAATAAAATACCACTATACACCCATTGGAAAGTTTCATAAACCAACTGTTGATGAGGGTGTGGAACAGTGTGAGTGTAAATTGGTACAATTTGTGAAGTAGTATCTGTTGAAGTTGAAGCAATAGATCCAGCAATTCTGGACTTAGAAGTATACCCAGAACCTTGTGCACATGTGCACCAGGAGCTGTTAAAGGAATGTTCAAAGGAACATTATTTACAATAATGAAAAACTGGAAACAACCAATATCCTTTAACAGTAGAATAAATCATAGTATATTAATATAATGGAAAAATTAGAGAGTTATGAAAAGGAATGAAGACAGCTATAACCGTTACTGTGGATGGATCTCATAATGTTGAAAGGAAAAAGCCAACACTGAAAAATACATGTTGTATGATTCCATTTATATAAAGTTTAAAAAAAAATACTAAACTGTAGTTTTTAAGAATTATTATTTACTCAGTAAAACAATGCAAATATGGAAGTGATTACCAAAATAATCAGGATGATTTGAGAGGAATGAAGGAAGGAGTTTGTGATCAGAAACAAATGCAGAGATAGACTTCCTGGGTTGTTGGCAATGAATTTCTTGATCTAGGTGATAGATATGTGGTTATTTGCTTTCTAATAATAAGCTTAACTTGCATATATTACCCACTTTTCTGCATTTGTATTTTTCTTTCACCCTTTAAAAAAGGTTTTAAAATACCATATAATTCGTACATGATACATATATGTGTACATTCATACATATGTGTGTAAACAGTTGTGATAGATACATGTCCTTGGACAGAATGGAGTTGATAAATGTGCTACACTGTCTGCTTTGGCAGAATGTCTTACTAATCCCAATTAAGGTAGTTTAAGCCACATATATTTGTTTTCAAATATTTGATTTCAGTCAAATTGTGAGAAGAGATTATCTATAAACTTTAATATTGACACATTTAGACTGGGCATGGTGGCTCACGCAAGTAATCCCAGCACTTAGAGAGGCCAAGGCAGGAGGATTGCAAGAGCCCAGGTGTTGAAGACCAGCTGGACAACACAGCAAGATCCTGTCCCAAAAAAATAAAAAATAAATTAGAATTTTAAAACTACAATATTGACACATTTAAAATTCCTTAAATGTCTTAGGTCCTACTTTTTAGGAAGAAATTTGTTATTCATCACATTGGTGATTCGGCAAAGTAAAAACTTTATTGTGACCTTCAGTCAATTTTATGCCATAAAATTACCCCTAACTTTCTTTGCAGTATTTCAAAATAACAATGTGTTTATATTTTATTACTGTTTTCCTTTCTGCCTTCACATCTGTTTTATAATTATGCAGTTGGTAGAATGATACCTTTGAAGGGTTGTTTTTGGACCAATCCTTTGCATGTATCATCCTTGATTTTCTCAGTACAGGAAGGAGAGTGATTTCAGCATAAGTTGGGATTTGTATAGTTCAAGGTTTTTAGTATTTTTAAGGCTTTTTCATCATAGTTTTTGATTCTAGTCGCCACACATTTCTACCCCTAGCATTCTGTAACCAAGGAAACGCCCTACTTTTAGCATGGCACAGTGCGAGTGTACCTTCTAAAGAAATGTTCCAGGTTGAATGCTCTGTGTATTCTAAGATAATATTTAAAAGAAGATCAGTGATTCTAGTGATTCAAAAAAGCTAAATTTTAAGAAATTAAAATTGCCTGAAAGTCTTAAGTATTTATTTTTGAAGTCTTTATTTTTCCTCAGTAAGCTGAAGCTGCAGCTGCCATATATGGATGCATATACAGCTTAGGGAAACCAATGACTAAAATAAAATCCAACTAAAAAATTAAATATAAAAGTGTCTGGCCAGGTACAGTGGCTCATGCCTGTAATCCTAGCACTTTGGGAGGTGAAGGCAGTAAGATTGCTTGAGGCCAGGAGTTCAAGACCAGCCTAGGCAACATAGCAAGACCCTCTCTCTACAAAAATGTTTAAAAATTAGCCAGGCATGATGGTGTGCACTTTTAGTCCCAGCTGCTCAGAAGGCTGAGATAGGATTGCTTGAGCCCAGGAGTTCAAGGCTCCAGTGAACTATGATTACTCCACTACACTTCAGCCTCGGCAATAGAGCTAGACCCTATCTCTTAAACAAACAAAAAAAATCTGTGTTGCAAATGTATTTTTAAGGTCAGTTGATTAGCATTTATCTTAAGGAGTATCAAGTACATTCAAAGTATTTAGATAGGCCAGTTTAGGTTAAAATACAAAGATGACTACGGTATATCTGCTCAGGCGATATATGGAGACAGATGTGGATACAAATAAAAGGTCTTCAATGAAATAAGTGTTATAATGAAAGAATACTTAAAGATATTAGAAGTATAATAAAAAGTTTTGATCTGGGAGTGGTGTTCCCTATGAAGACCAGCTTTAAAAATATAATTCGGATGTAAATTCTGTCAGAGTTATTTTTTTCTTTAACTCTTATTATGAACATTTTGAAACATTCAGAAACAGCATTTAGTAAACCACCATGCACTCAGCACTCAAGAAAGCTTTAAATTATTGAAAACCTGAGCCCTTTTTGAAAACATGACTTTATCGGCCAGGTGTGGTGGCTCACTGCACAATTCCAGCACTTTGAGAGGCCAAGGTGGGTGGATCATGAGGTCAGGAGTTCAAGACCAGCCTGGCCAAGCTGGTGAAACCCCAAATCTACTAAAAATACAAAAATTAGCCGGGCATGGTGGCAGCACCTGTAATCCCAGCTAATTGGAGGCTGAGGCTGAGGCAGAGAATTGCTTGAACCCAGGAGGCAGAGGTTGCAGTGAGCTGAGATTGCACCACTGCACTGCAGCCTGAGAGACAGGGCAAGACTGCATCTCAAAAACAAAAAAAAAAACAACAAAAAAACCCCATGACTTTCTTTATTTTTATAAACAGGGCCACTCTACTGCCCAGGCTGAAGTACAGTGGTACAGTCATAGCTTACTGTAACCTTGGAACTCCTGGCTTCAAGCAGTCCTCCTGCCTTGGCCTCCCAAAGCAATGTGATTGCAAGTGTGAGCCATCATGCCCCGCCCTGTTTTATAGTACCTTATAGCTTGCCCTTTAAACATGAGCATAGTATCTAGACTAATAGTGGAGTGATATTAGTTGCCTTCAGAGCTGAGTATCAGTTTGCTTAGGTGCTGCAAGACATTGTGAAAAATGCAACATAATTTCAAATGGAAAAATGAAATAAAGTTTTTTGTATACGTAAATTGAACTGTCAAGATAGTTTACTTTGAAGGTTTGAGTATCTAAAATGTACTATCTCAATCATACATTTTCTTAGTTTCTTATTCTTTATAATGGATTGCTTATACAAGAGCTCCTATTTATCTCAAAGTTTTGTTATTTTGTTCACACTGTTCTTTAGATGCTATTAAACTACAGCTGGTTGAAGCAGGCCTAGTAGAGTGTCTACTAGAGATTGTTCAGCAAAAAGTGGATAGTGACAAAGAAGATGACATTACTGAGCTCAAAACTGGTTCAGATCTCATGGTTTTATTACTGCTTGGAGGTGAGTTGTAATTTATGCCAGCCAGAGAATGTGGTTGTCAGATTTTTTTAAATTTATTATCTCTTCTGTAAATACTACCCTAGGCGTTTTCTCATTTTTCTATCTCATATGCTGTTGAGGTGATGATTTTGACATTTTAAACACATCATTGATAGAACCAGATATAATGAACCCGAAAAAGAAGTGTCTTCACTATCTTCCAATATTTGAAGAGCTGTCACATAGAAGAGATAGCTTTGGGACCACGGGACTGAAGAAAAGCTAGATGGCTCCCTGGGACTTGGACTAGAAAGATGCTAAACTCTATTGTCTAGTATCTATTAAAAGATTATTATAAAAAGAATTATTACTTTTCCCATTATGAATTTAATACTGTCTGAGGTATGTAGTTTCCCTGTTGGATATTCACCCAAGAATATGAATTTGTTACTCCTACTTATTTTTCCCTTGCCTAACTGTTCATTTCATTTACCTCCAGATGAATCCATGCAGAAGTTATTTGAAGGAGGAAAAGGCAGTGTATTTCAAAGGGTGCTTTCTTGGATTCCTTCAAATAACCACCAGCTACAGCTTGCTGGAGCATTGGCGATTGCAAATTTTGCCAGAAATGGTAAGCATATTAGTTCCTCCTTTGTTAGTCACATATTCCATATTTGTTTATTTTTGCTTTGCCATCACATATACTAAAACTGGAACAATTTAGAAGTTTGTGTAATATGTGTGTATGCTACTAACTTAATTTTTCAGAAATCTGAAATACTTATAGTGACATTCCTAACAAATTACGTATTTTATGCAATTCAACTAAATTTTAAGAGTTTAAAGGTCATGAATTACTTCTTTTGAATACGTTGCACTTCAGAGCTTAGTTAAGCTTGAATCCCATTCTAGTATACATCTGCTCTCTTTTGCCTAGTGATTTTATTTTGGATCTAATTATCCGAGTATTCATTCTAGAATTATTGTGCCTCAACTTACACTTTTAAGCTCATAAAATTTAAGTATGAATAATCCTCTGACTTCATGTAGAATATTTAATTTAGTTTAATAATATTTCAGGGGGTACCAGACTTCTATGTTTATGAAATCTGGCACTCCTAAAAAAGTCAAATACAGTCTAGAAACTCATTCTCTGTTGCCCAGGAAATATACTATGTCTAGGAAATATTGGTTATTTTTCTTTTTAGTTTAATTGTCTTTCAGTATACACTGTTGGTATATATCATAATGGCTGACTTCATTTTTACTCCTTCATTTTGGGAGTGACTCCCTAATAATGGAAGTAAGAGTGGCATAATATGGATAATTATTGAAACTAGATACGGGATAAATTTATAATAGTTCATTATAATATAGTCGTAATATTCTGTGTGCTTTGTAAATGTTTGAAAAAGAAATTAGATATCAGCCATGATAACAAAAGGTAGAGTACTATCACTGTAACATTGGCAGAACACAAGCATTCATCAAAATAAATGAAAAATATTGGACATTCTAACCATATGTTTCTACTTCTGATATATTATCTCTAAGGCTTTTTCTGATAATTTTTCTGATTTTTAAAATTTTATCTAGTTTAAGAATTTTTATAATACTTGTCACTCAGAAAACAGAAAAACCTATAAATCTGATGGGAGAAAGATTTGGAATTCATTTTATTGTATAGCTCCATTTTCCCTGATGTAGATAATAGGCAGATATCAGTAATGTAAAATATTTATAGAAATTTTAAAGAAGAAGAAAAAATGTTTTCTTTTTCAGATGGAAATTGTATTCATATGGTAGACAATGGGATTGTAGAAAAACTTATGGATTTACTGGACAGACATGTAGAAGATGGAAATGTAACAGTACAGCATGCAGCACTAAGTGCCCTCAGAAACCTGGCCATTCCAGGTAAGACTTAAGAATAGAAGGCAGCTGTGTAAAAAGTAAAATCCATCATTTGGGGAAGCCATTTAGTGTGATTTGTGAACCTGCTCTAATGAAGAAAATTTAAATAGTCTTCACATTGTTCACATTTTTTCATACTAATAAGTGAAGATCATATGTTAAATAAGTTTTGTGAGACGGTGCAAGAATAATCATTGCCTTCATTCAGACATCCTATTACCTATTGCGGACTCTTAAGATTTTCATCATGTTGTATAGTTAAGCTTTCTTAAGTTTGTTTTTTTGTTGTTGATGTTATTATTTTGAGATGGGGTCTCACTCGGTCACCCACACTAGAATGTGGTGATGCAATCTTTGCTCACCACAGACTCTACCTTCTGGGCTCAAGTTGTCCTCCCACGTCAGCCTCCTGAGTAGCAGGGACTATAGGAATGTGCCACCATGTCCAGCTAACTTTTTTTTTTTTTGAGACAGAGTCTCGCTCTGTTGCCAGGCTGGAGTGCAGTGGTGTGATCTCAGCTCACCGCAACCTCTGCCTCCCGGGTTCAAGTGATTCTCCTGCCTCAGCCTCCCAAGTAGCTGGTCCTACAGGTGCATGCCACCAGGCCCAGCTAATTTTTGTATTTTTAGTAGAGATGGGGTTTCACTGTGTTAGCCAGGCTGGTCTCAATCTCCTGACCTTGTGATCCACCCATCTCGGCCTCCCAAAGTGCAAGGATTGCAGGCATGAGCCACTGCGCCCAGCCTGATTTTTTATTTTTTGTAGAAACCTGATCTCACTATGGTGCCCTGGCTAGTCTTGAACTCCTGGGCTCAAGCAGTCTGCTCACCTTGGCCTCCCAAAGCGCTGGGATTACAGGTGAGAGCCACTTCACCAGACCATAAGCATCTTTAGTGAAGAATGACTTTCAGTTGTTATTTTCCTGTAAGCAGACAGTTTTTAAAAAATAGCCTTAATGTGCCTTTGGAAGTTATGAAATCACATTATTATGGAAAATAATACAAAAGATAGTTAAAACTATTCTTTTATTCTACTGTCTAAAAGTAAATTTATGGTTAGATGAAATAGTATAATTATATGATGATCCAATCCAGTTGAATTCAACTTGGTTTATATAGGATAGTAACATTTATTAATGTCTGTAACATTTATATTAATATAGTTGGATCAAAAACAGAATTGTGTTTTTTGTTGTAAGAGGGTAACATTTTCAGATTTTCTTTACAAGCTATGTAAGTAAATGTTTCAAATTGGGTTTAAAAAGCCAGAAAGTATATTTTCTGTTATGTGCTTATACACAAATAGGATAGGGACACACAAACACTAGATTCCATTTTTAAAATTGACAGAAAAGTAACAGGATTGTTTGTAAATGGAAAAATATAACACGGATCTTAAAGACACACAATAAATGTGTATTGAATTGAATGTTTATCAACAGGAATGCTCATACCATTTTTAACCATAGTCTTTCTTTTTCTCCAGTTATAAATAAAGCAAAGATGTTATCAGCTGGGGTCACAGAGACAGTTTTGAAATTTCTTAAATCTGAAATGCCCCCTGTTCAGTTCAAACTTCTGGGAACATTAAGAATGTTAATAGATGCTCAAGGTAAAAGAAATGTTTTCCCCAACTTGTATTTTTGATATAATAGTCTTAATGTGCCTCTAGTTGAAAAAGGACTCGTTTTTAGCTTTCAGGATTATATAATCATAAAAATAAACAGCAAATAAAAGATTATAAAATTGGTTTTGGAACTCCATTTATTAATTTGTGTGCTTGTTATAATTGACTATTTATTTATTTTTGAGACAGAGTCTTGCTTTGTCGCCTACTGCTGTGCAGTGGCACAATCTCAGCTCACTGCAACTTCTACCTCAGTAGCCAGGATTTCAGGCATGCTCGACAACTCCTGGCTAATTTGTTTTCAGAATTTCAATAGAGATGGGGTTTCACCATGTTACCCAGGCTGGTCTTGAACTCTTGGCCTCAAGTGATCCACCCACTTCAGCCTCCCAAAGTGCTGGGATTACAGGCATGAGCCAGCACACTCAGCCTATAATTGATTTTAAATAGAAATTATACCATATCTCTACTTGTTAGTATTTGTAATCCTGGTTTTAGGCTGCTTTATTACCAGTTTCTGGTGGGGTGGGGAGGTTGTGTGCTTTGGCATTCTATACCCATTTTTACCTTGGCTTTGAAATCGAATTTCATTATTGTGACAGTAAAAACTTTTAAAAATCTGTCTTGCCGACAGGGAGAACATTTTTCTCTTTGCAGAAATAGCAGTCAAAACCACTCCTAGGAATGAATTATGTTTATTTACTTATTCTAAGTTCTAAACCTCTTTCTATATTGATTGCATAGACTCCTTCTAAGAACTCCGCACTATAGTCTGCCAGAGCACTGACAGATTAGCAGGCTTAACCAAAAGAGTATGAAGTCATTTGTTTTTGCGTTTTGTATCACATTTCATAGTGTTACAGAAGAAGCCAAATAGCCCATCACATAAGGAGTATTTGCAGTTCTAGCTTTAATAAAGTTATTGTGCTGTGTTTTTTTAGACATATTTCTCCTTCACACTCTTAAATCTTCATGAATTATTTCAGCTGATTGTTAGTGATTCATTCCTTGGTTTGCCTTCTTCCTATAGCAGAAGCTGCTGAACAACTGGGAAAGAATGTTAAGTTAGTGGAGCGTTTGGTGGAATGGTGTGAAGCCAAAGATCATGCTGGTGTGATGGGGGAGTCAAACAGACTGCTATCTGCCCTTATACGACACAGTAAATCAAAAGTAAGTTCCAGAGGAAACTCTGCACTAGAAAACTTTAGAGTGTCTTTTTTTTTTTTTTTTTTTTTTTTTTTAAGAAATCCAGCATTGTAGGTCCTAACAACTGGGATAATATTTACCTGAAAGTTTGTGAAAATTCAGTGAGATCATGTATATAATGTGCTCAGCCGGTACATGGAACATAGGAAACACTAAATGGAGATTGCTGTCACTGCTGCTATTGTTATTACTTTTACCACCACCATTACCAGCATCAGCGTCAAACATTTCTTTGTGCCAGGCATTGACCATGCAGGCTACTGATATTTAGAAATTAAATGATATCTAGATAGTATATGATGCCCAGAACTCAGAAAGTTAGAAAAAAATACATTCTTATGGCTGTGCAGCTATCTGGCACATGGTAGATAACCAATGAATGAACAAATGAACTAATTTAAAGATCACAATAGTGAGTACCCAGGAGTTCGGCAGTTGATTTAGTATCCAGATTATATGCTTTAAAAAATTTTTTAATACTGTTTTTTTTTGTGTTTTTTTTTGTTTTTTTGTTTTTTTGTTTTTTTTTGAGACAGAGTCTTGCTCTGTCACCCAGGCTGGAGTGCAATAATGCAATCTCAGGTCACTGCAACCTCCGCCTTCCGGGTTCAAGCAATTCTCCTGCCTCAGCCTCTCGAGTAGCTGGTATTACAGGCACATGCCACCCACACTTGGCTAATTTTTGTATTTTTAGTAGTGACGGGGTTTCACGATGTTGACCAGGCTGGCCACAAACTCCTGACCTCATGATCTGCCCACTTCGGGATTACATGCGTGAGCCACCACACCCAGCCTTTAATACTGTTTTCTAAGGTGACCCTTTCGATCATTTCTCTTTTACACTTCAGTAGTGATTATATATGAAGAGAAAGTTTAGAACTTAAATCCACCAGCTGTTTTCATGTATTTTTAGAACAGATAAGATGCCAAGAGAAAAAGCGTAAAAGTAAAGCTGTTCTTGACTTGCATAAATCTCTTTCATATAAATAATTGGCTTTGCCATAATAGCTATCCCAGCTGGTTAGCCTCAGGAGTGTTCTTCCCCATCAGATACTAAATCTTGAGAACTTGGGAAAAAGCAGCTGTTAACTAGGACCTTCCTATTACCTGACTCACCCAGACCACCCTAAAAGCTCATACATTTTCATTGATACAGGACCAACTAGTATATTGGCAAGATGGATGTTATCAAGAGAGAATAACAAAATGGCCTCCTTGGTACCCCTTTTACCCCTTCTCCATCATAACTGCTCTCTCAGGCCCATTTTTTTGTTTAACAGTAAATATTGGAGTTATTGCAGTATAAATGCTACAAGATAGTGTTTCTGTAAAGGAATTAACTGTCCATTGAGGGGACTGACAAAAACACCTAAAGTACAGCATTAAAGCTACATAGCCTATTCGGTTGTAGCAGAGGAAAGAAAGACTAACACACTGTCTGGGTGGTCTGGGATGGTGCATAGAAGGAGTGCTATTTTAGAGGTTAACTAGAAACCTCTCAGGAGGAGGAGGGAAAGAGAATGAAGGAAAGGGCCTTTTCAGGCAAAGACAACAGAATGTACAAAAGCACAGAGATGTAAAACAGCACAATTTTAGAAGGAAACTGCAAATAAAGCAGTATTGCTGGAACATAGAGTGTGGAGAGAGACAGTGGCCAGAGAGGTTGAAAACTGTGAATTGAGTGAATTGTATGCCAAGTTAAGATATATGAATTTGATTCTTTACAGAATTTGGGAGCACTTAAAAGTGTTTTAAGCAGCACTAAGTGCCATTATTTGGTTTTTATTTAGAAAGATGTATCTAGGGTTTAATGGGGGTAGAAAGAACAATTATTGCAAAAATAGACATGTGAGAAGATAAAGGACTCAATTAAGGTTTTGAGTTGAGCAATTTCAAATTGCTGATATTCAGCCATTTTTGACAGAAATGTCATATGGTTTATTCAACTAGTAGCGTGAGGATGGAAAAGAAGAGGCAGACTTGAGAAAGATATAGGTGGTAGAATTGATAGATTCAACAGTAGCATTAAAGGAGAAGGTGGTTGTAGAGGTAATTCCAAGTTTGGGGCTTACCACGAGATTGGGTTATCATGCCATTCATCAAAATAAAACATGATAGGAAGAGGTGCAGCTAACACTCCCTAAACTTGCCCACTCTCCCATGCTCTTTGGAGTCATTACCTTTAATCTTTTTGCTCTACTCCAAGAAAATCTCCACCAGTGGTTTTCAGGGATGTACAATCATTTGGATTTTCCTGGGCCACACTGGAGAAAGAATTGTCTTGGCCACACATAAAATACACTAACACTAACAATAGCCGATGGGCTTAAAAAAAAAAAAAAAATCTCAAACACCTGAGGCATTTGAAGAAGAACAGAAATCTAAAAGTTTAGAAAACAGGCCGGGTACAGTAGCTCTTGCCTGTAATCCCAGCACTTTGGGAGGCCAAGGCAGGTGGATTACTTGTAATCAGGAGTTCCAGACCAGCCTGGCCAACATGGTGAAACCCCATCTCTACTAAAAATACAAAAATTAGCCAGCCATGGTAGCATGTGCTTATAACCCCAGCTACTAGGGAAGCTGAGGCAGGAGACTCGTTTGAACCCAGGAGGCAAAGGTTGCAGTGAGCCGAGATTGCACCGCTGCACTCCAGCCTGGGTGACAGAGCAAGACTCCCAAGACTCCATCTCCAGCAAGAACAACAACAACAAAATTTTGGAAAACGTATTTGGGGGAGTCATCAAGGAAAACTTCCCTGGCCTTGCTAGAGACCTAGACATCAAATACAAGAAGCTCAAAGAACATCTGGGAAATGCATTGCAAACAAAATCATCGCTGAGGCATATTGTTATCAGGTTATCTAAAGTTAAGACTAAGGAAAGAATCTTAAGAGCTGTGAGGCAAAAGCACAAGGTAAACTTTAAAGGAAAACCTATCAGCTTCACAGCAGATTTCTCAGCAGAACCCCTACAACCTAGAAAGGATTGGGGCCTTATCTTCAATCTCCTTAAAGAAAACAATTTATCAGCCAAGAAATTTGTATCCAGTGAAACTAACCTTCATAATTGAAGGAAAGATACAGTCTTTTTCAGAGAAATGCTGAAAGAATTTGCCATTACCAAGCCAGCATTACAAGAACTGCTAAAAGGAGCCCTAAATCTTGAAACAAATCCCAGAAACACATCAAAACAGAACCTCTTTGAAACAAATCTATCAGGACCTACAAAACAAAAATATAATTAAAAAAAATAATAATAAGGTATACAGGCAACAGATACCATGATGAATGGAATGGTGCCTCACATCTCAATACTAATGTTGAATGTAAATGGCCTAAATGCTCCACTGAAAGAAGCAGAATTGCAGGATAGATAAGAATTCACCAACCATCTGCTGCCTTTAAGAGACTCACCCAACACATAAGGACTCACATAAATTTAAGGTAGAGGGGTAGAAAAAGACATTCCTTGTAAATGGACACCAAAAGTGAACAGGAGTACTATTCTTGCATCAGACAAAACAAAATTTAAAGCAGCAGTGGTTCAAAAAGACAAAGAAGGACATCATTATATAATGATAAAAGGCCTCATTCAACAGGAAAATATCACAATCCTAAATATACATGCACCAAACACAGGAGCTCCCAAATAAGAAATGAGATAGACAATAACACAATAATAGTGGGGGACTTCAACACTCCACTGACAGCATTAAACAGGTTATCAAAACAGAAAATCAACAAAGAAACAATGGATTTAAACTATACCCTGGAACAAATGGACTTAACAGATATTTACAGAACATTCTACCCAGCCACCACAGAATGTACATTCTATTCATTAGCAAATGAACTTTCTCCAAGATAGACCATATAATAGGCCACAAAACAAGCCTTGATAAATTTATGAAAATTGAAATTTTATCAAAAACTCAGACCACATTGGAATAGAACTGGAAGTCAACTCCAAAAGGAACCTTAAAAACCATGCAAATACATGAACATTAAATAACCTGCTCCTGAATGATCATTGGGTCAACAATGAAGATGGAAATTTAAAAATTCTTCAAACTGAACAGTAAATGATACAACCTATCAAAACCTCTGGGATACACCAAAGGCATTGCTAAGAGGAAAGTTTATAGCATGAAATGCCCACATCAAAAAGTCAGAAAGCTCACAAATAGACAATCTAAGGTCACACCTCAAGGAATTAGAGAAACAAGAACAAATCAAACCCATACCCAGCAGAAGAAAGGAAATAACCAAGATCAGAGCAAAACTAAATAAAATTGAAACAAAAAGACAATACAAAGCTAAATGAAACAAAAAGTTGATTCTTTGAAAAGACAAATAAGATTGATAGACCATAACCAAGAAAAGAAGAGAGAAAATTCAAATAAGCTCAATTAGAAAAGAAATGGGGGATATAACAACTGACACCACAGAAATACAAAAGATCATTCAAGTCTACTATGAACAACTTTACACGCAAAAATTAGAAAACCTAGAGGAGTGTTCGCTTTGGCAGCACATATACTAAAATTGGAATGATACAGAGAAGATTAGCATGGCCCCTGCGCAAGGATGACACGCAAATTCGTGAAGCGTTCCATATTTAAAAAAAAACAAAAAAAAACAAAAAAAAACCTAGAGGAGATGGGTAAATTCTTGGAGAGATACAACTTTGCTAGCTTAAATCAGGAAGAATTAGATACCCTGAACAGACCAGTAACAAGCAGCAAGATTGAAATAGTAACTTAAAAATTACCAACAAAAAAAAAATCCAGGACCAGACCATTCACAGCTGATTTCTACCAGATATTCAAAGAATTGGTACCAATCCTATTGACACTATTGCAAAAGATAAAGAGGGAATTATCTCCAAATCATTTTATGAAGCCAGTAGCACCCTAATACCAAAACCAGGAAAGGACATAACAAAAAAAGAAAACAATATCCTTGA